AGCTTGTTTATTTATGTGTTCTATGAGCTTTTTCCTGTCGAGAGGACCCGTGGGATTTTTATCACATTCGTAACTACATCTTTGAGATGGCGGTAAAAGGTTGTCGTCGGGATCGACTTCTTTAGCTACAAAAAAAAATTTACGATGTGATCGTGAACTCGGGTCAATAAGAACACACATAAAAAAAAAAAAATTCGATTCTTTTAAACGACGTCACGCAAACACTAAAAGTCATCACGTGATGATTACCAGGTAAATAAAAATTAAAAATAATAATGATGATGATGATGATGATAAAACGACCAGCACACAAAGAACGTTTGAATGACTTGGTTAAAAAAAAAAAATGAAAATAAAGAAACCCGAAGTCACCCAAGCGTATAAAATAACAAAAACAAAAATGAGGGGTTTCTTTTTTTTTCCTTTTTTAATTCGAAGGGAAAGTAATAAGTCGGGGGAGGGGAGGGAAGGGAAGGGAAGGATGGGAAAGGGAATCAGAGACCACGAAATTCAAATGAATATTCAAATCCTGAAACTTGAGAGACGATTTTAATTTCATCAATTTAAATAACGTTCATTCAAATCTTTCTTTTCCTCCCCTCTCCTCCCCCCCCCCCTCTCTCTCTCTCTCTCACCAACGATGAAAAGTGACATTTAAATTTAACCTCGTTTCATCAACCTTAACGTGTTTATAATATGTACGCGCAAATGAAATTGCAAACGCCGCCTGCCTTTTCAATTACGTAAAACATTGTAGAGTAACCAGAGTGAAGAGAGAGAGAAAGAGGCAGAGAAAGAGAGAGAGAGAGAGAGAGAGAGAGAAAGAAAGAGAAAGAGAAAGAGAGAGAGAGAGAGAGAGAGAGAAAGAAAGAGAAAGAGAAAGAGAAAGAGAGAGAGAGAGAGAGAGAACAAAATGATTCTCTCCACCCTCGAGTGTGCATTCATTCTCATCTCATGATTAAAACCTTCAACTTTTTCTCACGTTTGTTTAAAAGTCAACAACTTTTAAAATTCTATAAAACTTTTTTTTTTTTTGTTTCCATCTTCATCTTTTTATTGAAAACTATCAAGTCTGACGATAACGAGTTTTCCGCGAAAAAAGTTTATTTTGACTCACCGGTCATAGGTCATCGCAACAAATTATTATTTTATATATATTTAATTGACGGAACCGAACATTACGTAATTTTTTTTTTATTTTCGGGGGAAGGGGAGAGGTAATAAGTAGGTAAAGGTGAGTATATATTCGGTAACTGCACGCGAGAAAACTCATTAGAGTAGGAGTGATCATCAGAGCGCCCTAAATGAGAAAAACATTTGATGATGATGATGATGATTACGTAACGAGTGACCGACCAAACATTCATTCTCTCTCTCTCTCTCTCTCTCTTTCGTTTCTAACTTAATTAAATAAAAAATACATTGGGATGTTTCGGATTTACCAAAAAAGAAAAAATTTGACATTAATAAACCAACCAACTAATAATAATAATAATTTTAAAATATTTTTGTGCGTTTTCACTTTTGTAAATTTTTTTTTTTTTTTTTTTTTTCGTTCATTCGTGCGTGATAATTAGGATGGAATTCGCAACGAAAAAGTTCTTTCTTGTGCTTGAAATCTAATAATGTGTTTGTACATTTAATGTATATTTCCGTAACGAGAACAAATCCGTCACGCGTTTCCATTTATTAACTCACACCATCGAACGTTTGACTCGCGTCATTTACGCGAAAAGGCGTCTCGCTTATTTAAAAAAAAAAAAACTTTCGCGAAAATGCGGCGCGTTATCATCATCATCACCATCACCATCACCATCACCATCTTTTTTTTGATTAATTGGTCAGGAAGCAAAGGATTCGGAGATTAATATTAAAAATTTTAGTATATAAATTACCTAACAAACTGATTTCTTCCGGCGTTAACTGTGATAAAAGCTCGTCAACGTCGATTTCGTCGTATTTCGACAAATCTCTTCCGTAAAGTTTTGATGGCGTCGTTTTGACCGTCGTCGTCGTTGACGATGTAGTCTGGAAAAAAAGAAAGAAAAAATAATAATAATAATAAAAATCGTTCATTTATTCTCACGTGTATTATTATTATTATTATGACATCCTTAAAAAAAAAAAAAAACCGTTCGACGAACGCGTTTTTCTTTAGTTAACTGTACAATTGTAATTTAAATAGCAATAATAAATAAATAAATAAATAAATAAAATTTCCATAACGGTAAATTCTCATTAGATTCGAACGATCGATCGAACCATCGATGTATCGATCGATACATCGATACATCGAAAACCCACATTCGTAATCTTGTTAATCATTTTTTTTTTTTTTTTACGCGTGACTAAATACAACAACAACAACAACAATAATAATAATGATGATGATGATGAACAAACAAAAGTAACAAAACGAAACGGATCGCGCAGGTCGTGCGCAAACCGGAAATCTTAATAATAATAATAATAATAATAACTTTGGAATTAATAAATTTTTTTGAAATCGAAAACGTATTTGTGAAATTTCAAAATAATATTTCCTTTCTTCTTACAAAAAAAAAAAATGAATCACATTTCCAAATGGATGGAGAAGCCATTGATTGTTATTTTTAAAAAATAAATAAATAAATAAACCGAATCGAATTCGAATTATTAACCATGTCAAAAAGTGTAAATCAATTAACCCAGAATTGAAAGAAAAAGGAGGAAAAGGAAAATAATAATAATAATAATAATGGTGGTAGTAGTAGTAGTATTCAAAAAAAATTCCAAGAATCTTTTGTTTTCCAGCTCCCCAATTAATTTTTTTTTACCTCCAGCGGAAATAAATTTCGTCGTGGGAGACCAAAAATATTCGCAATTATCCGTGGCAAGGGCGTAAACTTACGGTTCGCGACCCCCCCAAAAAAAAAAATCTAAAAAAAAAAAAATTCCGCGAACGAAAAACTAAAGCCGCAAAATAATTCGATTACTATTATTACTATTATTATCATTATTATTCATTACATGTAAATTTAATATAATTTCGGGGAGAGAGAGAGAGAGAGAGTGAATGACTTATTGAGTGACGCCGAAAAAATTAGCACGAAATGTTAATTAAACGTTAATTACCACAACATACTTAACTCGATAATAATAATAATAATAATAATAAGTGAGTGAGTGAGACGACGCCATTAATAATAAAACATTTTCATAATAATTTTTTTTTTTTTGGTTGGTAAAACTGGAATGGTCAGTGGTACTTGAAAAAAAAAAAAAAAATCGATTAGAATCAATAATGATAATAATTTAATTATTACTTTTCTAATCGGTCTATTTCGTCACCATCTCGCAATTTTTTTCTTCTCTCTCCCTCTCCCCCCTCTCTTTCTTTCCTTCTTTAAAAATTTTTACAACTCGTAGAAAACAAACAGCGCTTGCAGAGAGAGCAAAAAAAAAAAAATTAAAAAATTTCAGTGTGAAAAAAAAAAAAAATAATAAAAATATTTCGCTTTCCGACAGAAATTTTCTTTTAGACACAAAAAGCGTGCGTGTTAATAATAAATTCGAGAGAGAGAGAGAGAGAGAGACAGAGAAAATTCAGGCGCCTAAATTTTAATTCGGATCCAAGGATTTTCAATCCTACGCTTTTCGAAAAACGGCAAAACGAAAATAAACTTTTTGAAAGAAATGAATAAAAATAAAATGAAATAAAATTAAGAGAGGGGAAAAAAAATTTTTTTTTTTTTATATATATGAAAAATTTACATAAAACTTTCAAAGGTTTTTTTTTTTTTTTTTAAAAAAAGTGTTACCAATATTTGAAATTTAAAAAAAAAAAAAAAAAAAAATCTAGAGAAAAACTCAAACGGCAAAATTCCATCGTTCCTTAAAATTTTGGCAGAGGAAACCAAATCGAAATTAATTTTTTTTTTTTTTTGTTCTTCGACGATGGTATTCAATAATAGTAATAATAATAATATTAATGATAATAATAATGATAATAGTAATAATAATAATAATGACAATAAAAATAATAAAAATAATAAAAAAATAATCATTACCGTTTATTGTTTTATTTGAGTCATTGTTAAGGAATGAATATATAAATATGATGATAATGACAATAGCGAATAAAAACAACGAACAACAAACAAACAACAACAAACGACAATCTTTATTGTTGTTGTTGTCGTCGTCGTCACGTTTGATTTGACGGTCATTTATTCCCAACAAAAAAAAAAAAAAAGAAGTTCAAGAACGCAAAATTCTATTTTTCCACCTTCAAATAATTTCTTTCTTCATTTTTTTTTTTTTTTTCGATTCGATCTAACGACATTTTTTTCCTGATTGACTGATTGATTGATTGATTGATTGATACGTTCAAAAGGTTACGACTCCCTACCCTCTACCCAAAAAAAAACTAATAATAATAATAATAATTTTTTTTTACCTCAGATCATCTATGAACAACCGAACCCATGAATTATTAAATTTTTTTTTTTTTTGGTTTTAGTTTTTGTAAGGCTGCAAAAGTGAAAGTCACATCCTTATTATATAAAAAAAAAAACTAACAAACAAACAAATACCAACAAACGACGACAACCACCAAACCAAAATTCGTTTGCCCGAGGACTTTTCAACGTAATCACAAATTTGGAAAGAAAAAAAAAAAAAAAAAAAATTAAGGCGGAGAAAAAAGAAAAAAGTACTTTTTGTAATAATTATAATAATAATAAGAGAATGATGAGCAAGATGATGATGATGATGATAATGATAATAATAATGATGATGATGATGATGATGATGACGATGACGAAGGTGAAACGTTTAAAGAGTGCAACCAAGTGTTAATTTCCCCGTGTATAAAAAAAAAAAAAATTTTTTTTTTGATTGTTTTAAAATTAACAATTATTAACTTTTTTTTAATAAAAAAAACAAACAAACAAACAAACAAAAGAAGAAAAAAAATTACGTAAAAGTTTACGTAGAATTCGATCGTTTCGTTTTTTGACCCTAATACCCACAACAAAAAAAAAAACCCCTCGAGTTATTCGAGAACAAGTAGAACAAATACAAACAAATTTGTGAAATTTTGCGCGGGAAGGAATTTAAAATACTTTTTTTTTTTTTTTCCTTTTTACGAATGTCAAAAAAATCAAAACAAACAAAGATTAAAATAACCTAAAGGTGACATAACAACAACAACAACAACAACAACAATAACAATAACAATAATACATGATTCATTTTTTTTTCGACAAAAACGAAACGCGAAAAAAATCAAACGAGTTTAAAAACCAAAAAAGAAAAAAAAATGGCGCGCTTTTTTCGCGATAAAAGGTTTACTACGATCATTTTAATCAACAACCTTACCCCGTAATTCTTTAAAAAAAAATCGCGAGAAAAAAAAACCGTTAATTTAAAAAAAAGTTAATTATCGCGTCGACGCGACGATTGATTGATTCCTTTTAAAAAAATTCGCGAAAAAAGTTCTTAACGAATTTTTTTCCATAGTGAATTATACGTTTTTCCGCCGCTGGAGAAAAAAAATGAATTATTTTTGTGCTGGAGAAAAAAAAATATAAATAAAAATAAATCGTAACCAATAAAACAAATAAATAAAAATTAACCAATGCCTTACTTTCACCCGATTATTATTTTTTTTTTTTTTATGCGTGTGTGTAAAAAAAATTTTAGTGAACGCCTTTTTTTTTTTTTTTAAACAACAATTATTCCCGCGCAATTTCATTTAAATTTTTCCAAA